GTGCTGTCATTTTGCTGCTACTTTTATCTTCCTGTAGCAACTGCCCACAATTCACCAACATCCATTCAAACAGCTGATCCATTTGAGGTTCAGCTGCCTGCATATATTGCTCTTTGGAAACCTTATGAATTATCACAAAAGGACTATTTTTGTTGTTGTTGTTATGCTTCCTACCCAGTAAACCTACAGGTGAGGAGGCAGTAACTGAAGCCATGTGAAAAACCAGCAATGATGAAGCGCTAAAAGACTTTAGACCTAGATAATTCTATCAGGTTATCCATGGACTAAAACAACACAGATTGTGTAACGCAGTATGCAGTTCTGAGTTTACTCTACTAACCTACTTTCTCATACTTCTAGACTTCTCATACTGCCAAGCACCATACTGACAGCTCTTTAGGACAACCATCTCAGGATAAGAACCTCCTTCTAAAGTACTTGAGCTTTTCTCCTGAAAATGTGTTAGTGAGAAAACTGCCATTGGGAGTGGGGCCCTGAGAAAGAAAGAGTAAGAAATGTTTCAGCCTGAAATTTTATTTACATCAATCCCACTATTGATGCATTTCACAGCTTACAATGCGGGCAATACCCAGTACAAAAGCAATACTCTCCAAATGTTGTTGGATTCCAGTTCTGACCAGGCTCAGCCAGCATGGCCAATGGTCACAGATTATGGGAGTTGTATTCCAACATCTGGAAAGCACCATAAGAAAAGCAGCGTTGCTATACATGTTTACTCAGAAATAAGTCACACTGTGTTCAACATGGTTTCCTTTCAGGTAAGAGGTACAAGACTTTTTACCTAAATCTGGTTTATGGAATTGGACCTTAATGTGAAAAGTCCTTCACAATTGTTATTTCTAACAGTCCTCTGAATATTTTTAATACTCTGCTTTTTCCTTGCTTGGTGCTCCAGGTAACTATCAATAACATAGTAATGCAATACAAAAAGAAATGTGATAAATATCAGATAAATGCATCCTGTCTCTCCTCCAAGGGCCTCAGATACACTTTCTACTATTGCAACAACCCTCTGAGAAAGGTCAGGCAAAGAGACTGCAGCAAGGTCACCCACAGAATTTTGTGTCTTCAGAGATATTACAACCTTCATCTCAGCAGCCCAAATCCAATGCTACCCATTCCTTTATGCCACCACATCATTTTAAAGATGGAGAATAAGCTTTCCAATACACAGTTCAATGCAGTATAAATGGACAAACCCTGCATTTCAATATGAGGTACTATAAACTGAGTTAACATTCAAGCAAACAACCGTACAGGAGAATGAAGAGCATGATTTCAAAGATACATGCTGATCAAGTGAAGAACAAGTCAACATATATAGTATTGGTCTCAAGGGCTGCATGCATTCCTATTCTTCTTTGGCCATGATCACTGCTCACGTCATAAAATAACAGCATATGTATTCCCCACTAGACAAAGATGTCTAAGCATCTTTCTTTAACAGAAATATGTTTGTTATACTCTATATATACACTACACTGTGTGATTATACTGGGTGGTATTCAACTAAGTTTAATAAAAAAAAAAAAACCATGGCTAGGTTAGGTCCATTAATTTCTGTAGATCAACTCTTGAGTAAAACTTCATTGAATACCACCCACTATAGCCTCCTTGTACATGTGGACAAGGATATATAAAATATCATTTTCCTCCACAGAAGGAAGAGCAGCATAGATGGGAAAACATCCATTTTGAGTGAAAATTTTGAGTGGGAAAACAGCCTGAAGAGAAAGGGTTAAGCAGCTCTTCTTCTATCCCCTGCTGTTTGCCCACTAAAATGGGCTGCTTTCGGTTTAACAAATGTGTTTTTGAAAATTGGGAAATGTACTTTGGCCCTTATACAGACGAGGGAAGTTATGGACAATGGCCTCGTTCACAAAGCACGGTAAGCCAAGCTTACCGGGACAGCTTGAGGGACAAGCTATGTCCCTCAGACATCCCTGTTTCTGAGGGACAGTCTCCAGATTTACAAATCAGTCCCCCGACAAAATCCATCTATTTAGTAGGAAGTTGAAAAGTGTCCCCAGATTCATTGAGAAAAAATCTGGTAACCTTAGTACCGGGAAAGCATAAAGGTACTGGCTGCTGGAGAGTAGCTTGTAGCTGCTTGACTCCCTCCTGGTCCTTTTTGCTTCTTGGTTACAGTGCATGGCTATTGAGGAGAAATTAACCACAAGTCCTCCTAGTTCAGATGACATGGTAAGACCAAGCTTGGGTTAACTCACTGTGGTGCAACAGTAAACGGGACCAGGGAGGAGGAAAGCAGCTGCAAGCTCATCTTCAGGAGCCCCCATGGTCCCATAGTCCCAATAAGCCATACTTTGCTTGACTGTGTCAGATGAACCAGGCCATTAAGCAGCGGAGCAGGTATCCTGTAAAAATTCCAGCTTTGTGCAGGTACCACTGTTTTTCACTACCTATCAGCCTCAGTTTCTTATCTACAAAACAGACAAATTAAGACACAGGAGCTGTAAAATAACTTTGCAGCTAAAAATGTAAAAAATGACACAAGCATTGAATAAAACTAATGAAAGCCTACTCGTTTTGCAGAGAAGCTATGCAAATGTAACCTCATACATTTATTCTACATTCATTCAAACAAGGCCAGATCCAAAACAGATTTTTTTAGATGGACCCCAAAGAACCGACAGGTATCTATATATGCTTTGTCCCCAAGGCACACCCTGACAGCCTTAGTTTTGGGAACTGAGAGCACTGCTTCAGTATTTCCAGTCCTTGCTGTTCAGTGGTCTGGTGTGCTTCATTCTGCCTTGAGCTCAGTGGCGTAGCGTGGGGGGTGCAGGGGGGGCCGGCCGCACCGGGCGCAACATCTGGGGGGGCGCGCTCACACTCGCAGCTCTCTGCCCCTACCTGGCTCACTCACTCTCTCTCACTGCAGTGCTGGCTGTGCGAATCCGATCCGAGCCGCTGGGTCGCCGCCCACTGTGGAGGGGGTGGGTGCCAGGCGTGCGGTGCGGAGAGAGAGCGAGGGACTATCTGGGGGAGGGACAGTGCAGTGGCCGCCCAGCACAGCGCTGAGCGTGGGAGAGAACCACACCAGACCAGACCAGGCAGCAGCAAGAAGAAGCTGGCAGCGGCGGCAGGTTAGGGGTTAGGGGGCGCAAATTACTTGCCTTGCCCCGGGTTAGGGGGCGCAAATTACTTGCCTTGCCCCAGGTGCTGACAACCCACGCTACGCCGCTGCTTGAGCTCCACTGATCCACACAGCAGACAATGACCAAGCCAAGCCAAGACCATTGTAGAAGAAGAGTTTGGATTTGATATCCTGCTTTATCACTACCCGAAGGAGTCTCAAAGTGGCTAACAATCTCCTTTCCCTTCCTCCCCCACAACAAACACTCTGTGAGGTGAGTGGGGCTGAGAGACTTCAAAGAAGTGTGACTAGCCCAAGGTCACCCAGCAGCTGCATGTGGAGGAGCGGAGACGCGAACCCAGTTCACCAGATTACGAGTCTACCGCTCTTAACCACTACACCACACTGGCTCTCTGGTTGTAGGCAACCCTACTCTCTGTACCGAAATCAGGAGTTGGTATCTGCTTTTTCAGGAGACTTTCCCCAAGCAAACCCTGTAAGCTAATGTGTCCTGCTTCATTGATATGGCTTGTTGGGTCACAGAAACACACGGCAACTTTAGACGTGCACATAGCATCCTGTTGCTTCCATACAGCTGCTCTTAAATGGTGTACTATCTTTAAGATGGGCATTTCAAGAGTGTGCTCATGCATAATAGAAAGAATCACACAATAGGGGGAGGCAGATTTAGCATTAAGCTGGCAATTATAGCTTTCAACTAAGGTTAGTTTTTATGAGAAAGTTGGATAGAAACTCTATTCTGATTAAACTTTTCTCACAGGTGTATCAGAGCCATTCAGGAAACCATCTTATAGATGACAAATCTACAGATACGAACAGAAAACTGGGGAGAACTGACCCTCGTTTTCATGCCTCTCCCTTTGAGGCTGCTAAGGCCTGCTGGTGTTGGAGACAGTAGCAGCTGCATGCTCTCAGTTTGTGTGGAAGACCTGCCTTCTAGGCTCCCTTTCTGCTTTGTCAGTTATTACAAGACATTCTTCCATCCAAGATCACCATAAAGCCCATTCAGCTGGTGAACCATGAGCAGGCCTTCCATGTGGAAGACTTGGGTTCACATCTCTTGGTACTGACAGAGCCCCAGGGCCTTCAATAAGTAAAGGAGTGGGGGAAGATGTGACACACTCTATGGATAAAGCATTCATGCACCAGCCCTTTCCATATAGTGTTAACAGGGCAACTAATGCCATTCACCACTAGGATGCTAACACTCCACACTAATACGCCACTGCCCATGGCAAGTACATCTATTCATGTCAATTATTTTTCTCCATGGACCAATTCTCCCTCCCCCCCCCCATGAGGGAGTTCACCTAAAACACATGCTTGAGAAGGCCCCTTACCTGTGGCCTGTGACCCGCCTCATTTCAGCCCCCTTAATGCCACTGTGTGAAATGGCAACAATAAGGCATCTCACATGGTTAAGAGCACTGAGAAAGGTGGCAGTCTCACACACACCTGGGAACGTGTGAGAACCCAATGGGACCCACCTACACATAACTGCTCTTAAAAAAATAATAATGAAGAAGTTACAAGAATAAGAGTAGCAACAACAAGTATTTGATCCTATGCATGTTTACCCTGAAGGATGCTCTCCCCAGGTTACTGCTAGGAAGAGGAGCCAACTTCTAGGGGCCAAGGTCCCCATTAAAATATATGAGGGGATGGGGCACCCCAAAGTTGATGGACATTGCCATTCAAATGATGCAATTGCGCCCCATCATGTGATTGGTAATGCGGGGTGGGGCTTACCTGCCCCCCCCCCCAATATTTTAATCAAGTTGGCAACCCTGCTCCCAGGTCACTGGTTGCAGGTTGGGACTGCCTTGGTTTCTGTCACCCCGTTCCTCTCACAGCAGCCTCCTTAGAAGGGTTGGTGGGTGAGTTTTTTAAGGTGGGGCACCCTGGGGCAGAGAGGTTGGACCTTCCCCTCTCCTCCCCTCCCCTCCCCCCACCTGACCCCCTGCCTCGGCCTCGCTCTCCTTACCCTGGCGGCGCGGGAAGAGTAGGGGTCCTCGAAGAGCGCCCACATGCGCGGCTGGAGCCTCTTCCAGCGGCCGCCCTTGCCGTCGAGCGGGGCTCCGAGGGCGGCGGCAGCGGCGGCGGCGGCGCCCACGTCGTCGATGCCCAGTCGCTTGGCGGCCAGCTCGTCGTCGTCGGGCTCGGCGGGCGGCTCCCCGGTGATGAGGTCGGGCGCCTCGAAGATGTCGAGCGCCTCCTCGGCGTCGCGGTGCTGCCGGTAGGTCATCCAGCAGCAGGGCTCCACGTCGGTCTCGTCGATGCCCCAGAAGGCCAGCTCCTCCTCGAAGAGCGGCCCGCACACGTCGGCGGGGCAGTGCAGCTTGCCGGTGCGGTAGTAGTTGAGCACGTAGGCGAAGACGCCCGGGTGCCGGTCGAAGAAGAACTCGCAGCACGTGGCGCCATTGCTGCGCGGGCTCCAGGCACTGCCTCCCGCGCCGTCCAGGGGGCCGCCGCCGCCGCCGCTGCCTCCACCCGGGTTGGGTCCCGGGTTGGGGGCGGGCAGGGGCGGCGGGGGAGCCGGCAGGGGCGGCGCTTGGTGCTCTTCCCCGCCGCCGGGGGACTCGCAGGCCAGCAGAGCCAGGCGGGTGCCCGGCAGCGTCTTGAGGGTGCTCCGGTAGGTCTCGTGCCTCGTGCCCCCGACGTTGAGGATCACCCTCTCGTGGTCCTCGAGCTTCCCCATCTCTGTGGCTCAGACATGACTGCGGGAGAGAAAAGGAGAAGAAGGAGGAGAGAGGCGCCCAGAGGCAACAGAGCCGGGTGGCTATTTTTAGGCCGCCTGGGGAAAGGAAGACGTCGATTGTCATGGGAGAGTGGGGGAGGGGCCACGGCCACCACCACGTGATAATTGCCCCCAAATATGAATGGGAGGTAGCAGGGAGGGGTAAGCAGCTTCCTAGAGATTGCACGTTACATGGAAGGGAAGGGTAGCTAGTTGCATCTTCAGGGGAAGGGGCGAAGCCCTTCGAGAAGAGACGTACAACCAGGTGTCGCGTACCAATCCTGAGCCTACAGCCCCCTGCTGGTCTTGTCCAAGAGAGGGCGCTCTTTCCAACCTACACCGTTTCCTGCTGGAACCCAGAGCCAGGTCACCAGAGGGACTTCCCCATGTTGTTGTCTCCCTTTCCCTTGTCCCGCGTTTGCCTCCCCCACTCCCAATGTCCGCCGTTCTCCTTAACAAAACCCAACCCCATGTCCCATCCCTTTTGGCCGCCCTAGACTCTGAACCCTCAAGTTTCCCGTCTAAGTTCCTCGCAAGCAGTGGCAAAGAACGCAGCTCAAGGGAAAAGTTGCTCCGCCAACGACCCTGGAACCAACCTGGCGCTCCTTCCAGCTCTTCCCTGGGCACAATCCGGAGCAGCCCCCTTGCCCCACACTCCTTTTGCCTTCGCCTCTCCTGCTTTCAGATGGCTGCTCTTCCTCATCCTTCCATCTCCTCGCCCTCCCTCCGCTTGAGATGATCCGGACTCTGCCTCAAAGCTCCCCCTCCCTCCACACACACACACACACACACAAACACCCCAATACAGCCAAGGCTCACACCGCTTCTCCTTGCTAGCAATCAGTAGTCACCTTCGTCAACCCTCCTCATCCCTCCTCTCTGAATTCTTTCGTTCAAGTTGTCTGGACAAACATGAGGAATTAAAACGAGGTGCCCTTTGTCCATCTTCTATCTATTAGGAGAGAAATCTACAGGAGACATCTGGGGTTGACTAGTGATAACCAAATACTCTTTGCACCCCCCCTTCCCAAATCCAGCAGCGGGCACACCCTATAGGATCTGTTGTCGTATAACCTTAGCAGCAGATTTCTACGTTCCTCATCCTCGCCAGATTATACGTGCAGGTTAATTTCAGGACCGAGAAGCAGATGTAATCAGAAATGCGCTGCTATGGTTATCCCCCCTCCCCATGCCATCCTTCCCCATACCTTGGTGACACGAGAGAAAGAGGCTGCTCTTCACATTGCAAACGCTCTTTCCTTCGCAGCTGCCTCCAGACTCGCTTGTGTTGGTGTCAAACGAAGAACTACTTGTTGTAGCCGGGAAGGGGGGGCGCTCCTCCCATCTTCAGGTGGCCATGCCAGCGCCCTTGACTGCCAACCCCGAAAGCAAGGGAAGCAGCCCCCACCTGCTGCTAGGAAACCTCTCTTCAGTCATTGTGCCAGATCGAGGAGACGCTTTAGCTTCGCGGAGGAGAAAAAAGCATCACAAAAACATGGGGGGGGTAGGCGAGGGTGTCCTCGGCAGGGTGGGCTCAAAGCGTCTGAAGGAGTCGGCGCTGCTCCATCCAAGCGCCTCTCCACTCGCTCCAGCTCCAAGGTGAAAGGAGCGCTGCTGCCAAGGCTTCCCCTGCCTTTCAAGAGAGGCGAGGTGGGAGCTGTCCCTTCAGCACCATTCTCCAGCAATTACGTGGCAGGCGACCCCATTAGCCTTGTTTTCTCGGGTTGCGCGATTGCTTCGATCGCTGAAAGCAGACCAAACGCGACGCAAAAGCCATCTCTGAGGAATGCACCTCCGCTCCTTTCACACGCTGATTTCACTTCGGGGGAAACAGAGCATCCGGTTGGGGAAGAGTTGTTTACCTGACAGGAGCAGTGAGGATGGCACCTAGCTACAGGTGAAAGTGACACGGAGTGGGCTTTAGAAGAAGAATTCTGGATGTAGGAAGTGCAATGGCAGTCAACAGCAAGGATGAGGGGAAAGACACAAGGATGTGGCTGAACGTTGTTGTTTCGTATCTATGGACCTCTGTTTCTAGTCCTGCCTCCTTACTCACTGCACTCACAGGAGCATTTTTAAGGTTTGCTGTGTGTGTCACTACTATATCCCATCTCCACAGAATGTTCCATCACAACCTCACCACAATCTCTGGGAGCTCAGCATGAACAGAATGGTTCCAAAATCTTTCTTTATAAAACAACAACAACACATTAAAAAGTATCTGGAACAGAAGGATATAGTGGCTAGCTCTGCTTCCCATTAGGTAGCCATTGTGTCACCATGATCCAGGAAAAAAATGAATCTGTTCAAGGGTTATGAGACTGCTTTCAGATGTAATCATAAATACACTTGCACACACCCCATCCCACTGATCCTGTAGTCCTTTCCTTGGTGGTAGAAAAGCTCACCTAGATCATCTGACATCAGGAAGAGCCACTATCCAGAAAGCAGAGGACCAACCCCGCAATGCCTAATATGATGTTTTGCCCTAAGGGTCCAAGGAGGCTGAGGACAACAAAGAGGTGTGATTTTTCATTCAGCGTAAAAATAGGTAGAGATCACTTGATAATAACAGTCAGAATCAAGTAGGGAATCTGAAGTCCCTTCTCAGTGCAAGTAAGCCTGAAAATCTTTAAATCCACTGTTACAAATGCATACGCAAGATTTCAAAAGCAAATGCAATTTTTCACTGGATTGCTCTACATACAATTGTAGGCAGACTACATCCCAAGAGAAGCAGCCACATATTCCTGACATCTATAAAGAATGCTAGCCCTCAACAAGACCTAAGACCATAACTGCATTGCAGGTTACAGCTTATCTGCATGTTTTTGTATTTCTGTGCATCTTCACTCCTCCCAATTTGCTAGTATTAGAAACACCTCCTGTGTTTCTGTGTAACAAAGTTTTAAGCTTTTGGAGTGCAACCAATCTGCTCCTAGAAATATATAGCTATAGTTTTATCTCTATGATCTTGCAGGTCCTTGTCTTTTAAAAATCTCCCTTATGAGAATTTCACAATTATGCTTATACACTATAATCACACTTACTGGTAAAGTATCTTAGTATGGCCAGGATAGGGAAGATGCTGATTGTTCACCAAGAAACAAAAGAAATCTCAGTGATCAGCTTGAACTATCCTTGAAGAGTTACCGAACAAAGAAGTACAACAAGACAAAACATAGGAAGCTCCATTGACAGATAACGGGGGGGGCGGGATCAATGATGAAATGTCTGCCTACATTTCTTGTAGCAAGGAAACTGAAATATATTGTTGTTGTTGTTGGAGACTAGCAGCTCCTAAAAGTTTTTAGATGATGGTGAGCTGCTTCTACATGAAACCAATATTGACCAGGTTAACTCTTACGTATATTCATACTCAGTCCATCTTCCTTTGCAGGACAATCTACATGCTAAGGAATGAATGCAGGCCAGGCAAGAGAAGATAGTTTAGTAGAAAAGAAGTCAAAAGGCAATGTGTGCAAATACCACGGGCATGCCCTAAGATGTTACACAGCCTGAACTTCACATTATTTCTTGAGCTCTGTTTTGTACATTTGAGGGAGATCATCTGCTAGGGATAAAGTGTCAGCATGCAGAGGATCGAAAGGCCAGATGGCTAGCCCCAGCCGGGTTGTTTCCTTCCAGCCGTCCTACTGCGAAGACCCATCGGCCTCTGCTCCGACATAAATCAGCGACCCAGGCTTCAAAGCCAGGGCACACTATATCAGCAGAGCAAACTGCGCACACAGAATAGGCATGAGGCTTGTGGAAGCATACTACAACTACAGATTTATTAATCATAAATCAGGACAAAAAAACATGTTGTCTCTCTGTCTTCTCGGCGAGAGAGGCAAAAGCAAAAGCAATAACACAGCGGAAGTTCCGCTAACGCCAGCAAAACAGTGCTGGAATGTAAACAGACATGTGACACGTAACAGTTCCATGTCTGCTCCTTAAGGTGGAATGGAAATTTCCCAACATAAAGAACCGCTTCCCCCCCCCCCATAGAACGCCATTGACACATCGCAAAAGTCAACCAGGGGGCTCAGTCAATGGTGGGCGAATTAAGATCCAAAAGCTGGCAGAGATTGTAGCATTACCTAGCTATTCCTCTGTGCCACTGTCTCTTTTCACTACCTCACATATACACATGGGGCATAAGAGGAATCAATTGCAATCTGGTAAGCAAGAACAGGCCTGCAGCACCCGCAGAGTTGGATGGTGGTTCAAGCTGTGCGTTATCAAGCCAATAGCCACAAGTTTCCCATTCCAGCGCTAGAACATCAAAGATTCAAGAATACCTTGGATATTAGGTCTCCTTGTGATCAATGCTGGTAATTGTCCGTAAGAAGGGGCTGTCTTTCTCAATGCCTTCCAGTGTCTGTGCCACAGCTGCTGAATCCATTAAAAACTAACTGCAACATCTGAAGCATGGCACAAGGTATTATTTTGTACCATTGCTCAACTGGTGTGCTCATAGCAAAAAGAAAAGTTGCTTATCTCAAAGCTGTATTTGTTTTGTATCTTTGTGCACACAATAACATAGTGACCTTTAAATGGGTCACCATTCCCCTAATTAATTTCATTAGTGTCTACAGCTTTCTTTTTTTGGTTCCCGCTTCTGGGAGAAACTCTGGCTTTTTGTAGGCCTTTGACTTCATTATATCCCTCTTCTAGGGACATTTAAACATATTTTTGGTCCATTTGGCCTCATTCTTTCCTTCTCTTTTGTTGTGCTTTGCTTCTCTCCAAGCTAAGGGATCCACTTCTAATTTTAATTTAGGCTAGTTTGAACAGCATTTGACTTCAGAGGTCATCTATGCCTATTATCAAGATCCTACACACATCCAACAGTCAAGGAGTCAAAATGATTTAGATTTGCCGCCATCCCCTCCCAATCTTGCAGAGCTCTCTAAATCATCTAATCTGTTCTTTCCACTTTTGTTTTCTTAAGTGGC